GGGTTGCCGGTGAAGAAATCCAAGAAGAACGGCAAGAACCTCGGGAAGTTCAAGAAGGGCGACGAGGTCAAGGTGACTGACCCCACCGCCGTTCTCATCGGCCTGCCGAAAGGAGGAAAGCAGCTGCTCATGGAGATGGGGCTGTGGGAAGGCGAGCCAACCCTACGCGTTCACGAGTGCAGCGCGTGCAGGGCGGAAAAGGCGGCAACAAGGCAAGCCATTACCGCCTTCAACCGCGGTGGAGAGGGGCGGCAGCAGGTGGTGGACAACACGGGGCAGGGAGAAGAGGACGGCGGAGAGGACGGGCACTCGGGTGGGAGCGGGGCAGCTGGTGAAGCAGGCAAGAGGCGTCGCTGCTGCGTCGTGCGCGTTCTGTCTGAGCTCAAGGCGTTCAGGGAGGAGCTCAACATGGTTGAGAAGCTCTTCAAGGCACACGGGCACCTGTGCATCTTCTTGCCGAAGTACCACCCAGAGCTCAACGCAATCGAGCGATACTGGGGGTACATCAAGCACCTCCTCCGCCTCCACTGCGAGTATTCCCTTCGCCACATGCTCCAGGTCTTGCCCGGCGCGTTGAGCGGCGTACCCGCACGGTTTATCCGCGCATGGAGCAGGGTGACGTGGCTGTACATCGAAGCCTACGACGAGGGCCTGGAGGACTACCTCGAGTACCGCGATCTCAAGGAGTGGGGGACGCACCGAGAAGCCACCGCCAGAGGAGATGCCGTGATTCAGGCGAGGGGGGCGGGGAAGACGCTGGAGCAGAAGAAGGCAGCCGAGGCGAAGGCGCTTGCGGCTGCGCAGGAAGTGCGCAAGAAGTCGATGGCAGCGACCAGGGAAGCCTTCAACAGGTGGACGAGCAAGACAGCCTCCCGGAAGGAGCAGCTACGGCGGTGGATTTTGCGCAACACGATGATTTTTTTTTAGGAAATGGTTGGGCGGGCACGCTCAGGCGTTAGTGGGGAGGGCACGTATCTATATGTCGCGGTGCGTTGTAGTGTTGGTTTCTCGCGTTTAGGCGCGGAGAGGCGTTCGTCATGGTCACCAACTCAACGCTATAGCTGTCTCTCTTGGTATCGGACTTTCCGCAGACACATTCTGACAGCACTTCAGACAGCAGCTCTGTGCCCCGCCAGCTGCTTATTCCATGCCTACCATGGTGTTTTCGTACAAACAGCACTTCAGACAGCAGTATGCTGTAGTCGGCAATCTTCCGTTTTGGTATAGAGTGGGACAGGGAGGAGGTGATGCTACTGTAGTCGAACGGTGGGACGGACGTGCAGTTCAGTTTTTGGGCACGCATACGGTGCTGCAGGGATTTTAAGGTGTACCTCTTCGTGCTCTTGGATCCCTTTTTCTCGTTATATTATATGTGTGCGGTTTCTTTAGATCCTCAGATGGCTCTTCTAGCACTTTCGTGACCACGGGCTGAGAGTCTTTGCTAGATTTTGGCATTTAGCAACTG